TGATTTACAAATTATTTTATGTTATCTTATTTTGCTGTTACTAACATTAAAAAAACATTATAAAAATTATAATGTTTATGATAAAAATAACACCATCGATTTTCATAGCACTAGTGAAAAATACGTTTTTCTCGCCATTTCAAATCATTCGCTAGCAGAGCCATCTATCGGCAGACATTTCATGAAAAAACATAGAAAGTGGGCACAGCATTTTCCCCATTTTTTGTTCATTTTCCCCGGTGGCATTGGGATATATATATATATATAAACACACACACATATATGTATATATAAATATATATATATATGTATGCATATATATGTATATATATACATATATGTATATATATATATATATATATATATATATATATATATATATATATATATATATATATATATATGCATATATGTGTGTGCGTGCACGCTCGTGTATATATATATATATATATATATATATATATATATATATATATATATATATATATATATATATATACATAAATATATGTATATATATATATACATATACATACATATATATATACATATACATATATATATACATATGTATATATATATATATATATATATATATATATATATATATATATATATATACATATATATACATATATATCTACATATATATATATATATATATATATATATATATATATATATATATATATATATATATATGTACATAAATATTTATGTATATATATATGTATATATATAAATATATATATATATATATATATATATATATATATATATATATATATATATATATATATATATACATATGTATGTATATATATGTAAGTTACTTAGGGAATAATTGTGGTGCAGGATATGTATGAGGAGAACATATGCAATAAGCATGGCAGACGGTTCACAGTGGAAGCAGTTTTGCCTCAGGGATTGCATCTGGGTCTTCCCTTGTTTCAGCAGCGACGGACAGGTTGGCGGACAAGAGCTTTCATGGACTAATATATTCGCGGACGACATTGTGATCTGTAATGAGCAAGGGGCAGGCCGAAGCGAGTCTGGGGCAGAGGAGGTAGACACCGGACAGAAGTGGAATATGTCAGCGGGAGCAAGTTTGAGTACATTAGCATGAATAATAGATGGGTCACCGGAAACGTGCGGCTGAAGGAATGCAGGTGGAAAGGTAGCCGGGTCAGGTATCTGGAATCAGCAAGAGTAATGGAGAGTGAGGCAGGGAAGGAAAGAAGAGGGCACAGGGATAGGCGGAGAAGAATGACAAGATTGATTTTGAGAGAAGGGTAATTCCATAAGGGAAAGGGGGGGGTATATACGAGACGGTAATGAAACCGAATCCACGGTATGATTTTGAGATGATAAAGTAGAAGCGGAGATGAAAGTCTCAGAGTTAAAGAGGCTGCAATTATCGTTGAGAGCGAGATTTGTAACGTGTATATTAGAGGGTAATCACACACCGGACGGTCTGGAGGCCAAGAGGGAGAAGAAAAGATTGTGCAGAGTGCATTGCGAAAGGATGCTGAAGACTGAGCCCCTCTCAGGCATGGGGAAAAGACGAAGGCCAAACAGGAGGCTTTTGGACAGGGGCGTCATTTTAACATTTCTTGGGGGGGGGGCAAATATAAGCAAAGATAGAATATAGAATATTAGCTATTCTGAGGACATTTTAAAGATGCAACCGACTTATATATGTATAATTTAGCAGCCCTTACGGGGGGTGGGGGGTGGGGGGTGGGGGCAAGCTAGACCTTGATTGCGGGTAAACAGACTCTTAGGAAGCAAGTGCCCCTTCCCTCCAACTGACGCCCCTGGTTTTGGTTATGGTGAAAGAGTGAAAGAGGAGAGATAGGCGGTTGGCGTAGCAGAAGGTGAGGGGGGGGGGGCAGGAAAATAGGGGGAAATGGAAGTGGACGCATCCCTTGTGATCTCAATTTTACCATAACAGTATTCAGACTGTACATACACTCGCACACTCGGTTTTAGAAAGGCGTAGCATAACATTTTCCTAAAAAAATATATATATATTGAGTATCATACATATCAAAATCAGAAAATGGGATAATCAAGGTTCGATAACGATGCCTTTCTGTAATTCGTTGTTATCTTACAGACAAGGGCTCTGTACTATAATTGAAAACTACTCCCTGTGGTCAGAGAGTAACATTAACTTGACAGATCATTTACTCGAGTCGGATCTATTTAAAAAATGTGTATAAACATACCCATCCTCTCTCATCACACGCACACACACACATACACACTCACACACTCACACACACACACACACACACACACACACACATTTATGCACACATAGAAAAGAGACAAACACAAACATCCAAAACTTT